AATACTTACTTATTTCATTGGAAACTACAAGATCCTATTGTTTTGTATCTAGAATAATAATTAATGTAAATATTTTATTATTCATTTATTGATAAAAATATAGGTACTTACCATGTACATTATCTTCAAATTTTTTTGGCTTTAGAAAATGCAAATGTCTACTTGTATATATTGCTTCAGGATGTATTTCATTTGGATTATATTGAATAAAATTCTTGTTTGATTTATTTGCTACTCTAATTTGTTTCCTTATTTCATCATTATAAGAATATTTATTAAGTTGAGATTTCAAATCTTCAGCAGTTGAATGATTGAGAGGTTCAAAATTCCAGCTTTTTTCCATTATTTCCTTAAAAAATGAGGAATTTCACATTTAATTTCAGGTTTATATCCTTTGCAAATTTTCATTACAAGATTTTCATTATGTGGAATATTATAATATGGTGGATAACTAGTTAAAATTCTAATATAACCATACCAAAAGAATAAATGTCAGATGCTTGAATATATTCTCCTCTACTTAATGTCTCAGGTGCCATGTATGGAATTACATCATAAATTTTTTCTGGATCATTTTCTGAAACTGGTTTGCACAATCCAAAATCAGTAATATGACATAAATTTATATTTTGACTAACTATATTACCAGAATGAAAATCTTTACGCATTAAGCCCATTTCATGAATATTTTTAAGTCCATTTACAATATTGAATAGAATAGTAGATTTTCCCTTCCAAGTTAATTGGTTAAACTCATTATTCAATACTTTTTGAAGACTGCCATATTTTGCATAATCCATAACCATCATATATTCATTTTTTGTTGGATTTTTAGTAATGCCATATATTGCAATTGCACTTTTACCTCGAAACTTAAGTTGATTTTTAATCTTAAATATTTATTAGGATAAAATAAAATTATTATATATTTAAAATAATGAAAATTAAATAATAAAAATATTTAACTCTTGCAAAAAATCATTTTTATTTGTGAAATTTCCAAGGCTTTTTAAACAAACATCTTGTTTACCTTTTCTCTGCCAAACATATTTAACAAGCCAATACCATTTGTTTTTTTTATGAGTGGAAATAATAAATCCATCAAGCCAATTTGCTTTATATACTATGCCAAAACCTCCTTTAGCAAGGAATATGACATTCTTAAGTCTGTTAAATGGAATCCACTCAATAATTTCTTGAAATTTATTTGCATTTAATTGTATTTGTTGAATAAATCTATCAATTTCTTTGTCTCCACTGTCCATTTATCAAATTCATTTTGAAATTGTTTTGCATTACATGAATTGCACCAATGTTTTCCTGTATTATCTTGATTGCATTTGCTACACTTTTAAAAAGCACTAAGAATATCAATGATAATTAATTGAAGAATTATTATTTGAAATTAATATATTGATTAGTTTATTATTGATCAGAGAATTGTTATATAATATTAAAACATTGATTTCAATAATTATAAAATTAAATACTCACTCACTGTAATATAATTTATATTGATTAGTTTATTATTGATTATAGAATTGTTATATAATATTAAAACATTGATTTCAATAATTATAAAATTAAATACTCACAAACTGTAATATAATTTATATTGATTAGAAATGTAATTTAATATATGTAATTTATTTTTATTGTTAGCTATTATGATTATTATGATTTAAAATAAAGTTTAATATAACTTTATGCCTACTCTTCCGAATCTTTAGATTTTTCCAATTCTTCCATTTCTTCTGTTTCTCCCATTTCTTGTTTCTTTCATTTCTCCATTTTGTACAACAATAATGATCACACAAGTATGCGATCAGAGTTAAAAGAATTTTCCATAGCACAAATAATCTAAATATTTGAATTCACCAACGCAAAAAAGAATCATGTAAATGATCTATAATACATTATCGAATATTAATACGGTGCTTTTAAAAGTATTCTTTATAATAGCTAAATAATTAATTATAACAATATTATTAATCAATTATAATTATATAATATTATTATCAATGAATTTACATGTAATTCATAGCCTCTAATTATAGAAACAAGAAAAAAGGTTTAGTTGAAAATTTTAAGGATCCCTCAATGATTGAAAAATTTATTCGCCATCATTATCATCATCACATTGAAGAATAATAACTAGCAAATAGTAATTTATACAAAAAACTTTATTTTCTAAAAGACAATATACTGTCAAAATATGAAATTGTATCGAATATTTAACACTTTACAATCCATTTTTCATCAGTATAGAAATACATAATATAAATAAATAATAATTAATTCAAAAAACTGTTCCAATGATTTTTTTTTTCAAATAAAAATAATAATAATAATAATAAATCATAAATAATTTTATAATCATTATTTACTCACCATATCTACAAAGATAATTTCACTTGTAATTTTTCGATCTAATATTATAATAAAAACAGTTCAATATTATCTTTTGAAAAGGAAACTTTTTATAAACAATGTGAATAATGTTTTCTCAACCTCTTAACCTTGCTTCTTGTTAAACAAATGCATTCTAAATATCATTTCCCTCCTAGAAACTTTATTCTTTTAGTGAAAAATTCTTAATTTTCCATTTTGTTAATGCTTTTCATTTTTCTATTATTTATCACTTTGTATAAAATGATTTTGACTAAATCGGTAAATATTCAAATTTCAGGTCACATTTTAGATAATGAAAAATAGTCGTTAATTAACTTCAATAATATATTCAATAGGTTATAACTAAAGTTCCTAATGTAATGGTTCAGTTCTCTTCTAATGTTGAACTGATACCGAACCAAATTTAAAAATTGGTTCGATTTGGAACTTAAATCGAAAATATCCAACCGAATCTGACTGAAACAGAACCAAACTGAACTGATTTGCACCAGTTCAAATGGTTCAAAGGTTTTTTCTGTCAGAAAGTTTTTGCTTAATTATTATAATAAAATTGTATGATTAATTATAAAATGCAATAAACCATTGTTACAAGAGTAGTTTAAAAAAAAATAATATTTATAATTTAAAAACTTATTTATATGATAATATTTTTCATAAAATATAGTTTTCCTTATCATTCCTTTTTACAGTTTGTCAAATGATCCAAAAATATTTTAATAATAATATTTAACAGTTTAATGCATTTCTAAAATATATTTATTTTTATAATAAAATAAAATAGCAACGCTTCCCAACGATCAAAAAAAGGCAACAAAAAAATGGTGACAAAAAAGTGGCGACGAAAAATCATCTGGGAATTTTATAAGGCTGATATTTTCAGGACCTACTGTATAACGTAAATTTTCGAAAATATTTACGTTTTTATGACTTCGCTCACGATTTACGAGACAGGGAGCGATTTTCTACTAAGGCGTTTCTATGAAAAATAGAAGCGCCTCGTTCAGGGTCACAAGATGATATGTGTTGTCCCTTTAACATCGATATTCGCTGAAATATTCTGGTTTAAAGGAAAACGTCCGTGTAAAAAAAAATTTTCGAAATATTTCGCGGAAATCTTTTTTAAGCCAGAATATTTCGGCGAATATCGATGCTACAGGGACAAAACACATATCATCTTGTGGCCCTGAACGAGGCGCTTCTATCTTTTATAGAAACATCTTAGTAATAAATTGCTCCCTGTATCGTAAATTGCGAGCGAAGTCATAAAAACGTAAATATTTTCGAAAATTTACGTAGGTCTTCAAAACTTTCGAAAATATCCGCCTTATAAGTACTTCCGATGAAGGCAACAAAAAATGGCAACGGCAATGGCAAAAGATTAAAAAGAATATTTCTTTGTATTTCATTTTAGGATGGCTACGGCGACAATGGTGATAAATAAAAACCGTGCCGAAAAACATACCTATAAACTTTATTAGATCTAACTCTAAACTAGCACAATTTTGACATTGTTGTTGGTATAATACTTTCGTTAAAATTTGCATATTTGTAAATTTATTAAAATAAACTTTTTATTTAAATACCATACAACCTGTTATTAGATATAAATTCTATTAATTCTAATGCTTTTTTTTTGAATATTTTGTTTCCTTTTTTTTCGCCCCTTTAACTTCTTACTTCGTGAGTGGCAAAGTTGATTTTCCAACTTCAAGATAAGAAAAAATTTGACGCATTTGTTTGTTATAACATTTTTCAAATGCAATTATACGAAATCTGGTATTTGTATATATACAATCTTCAATTGGTTTAAAACACGTGGAAAAAAAATTTGAAATCAACATGATAGTCCAACTTATAGCTAAATATAATTTTCGTGAAACATTTTTTTAAATTATAAAAATCTTAAAGAAAATATTATCACTTTGCATCAGCCGGGAGTCGAACCCGGGCCACTCGCTTGGAAGGCGAGTATTCTGCCGCTATACTACTGATGCATTTTGTATGAAGATTCTCTTTTCTTTAATTAATGTTATGCAGACATCGAATTTATACGTTAATCGATTATCGTAATTGGGAATCTATGAAAGATAAAATATCTTTGAATTGTATAGGATAATTGCTTAATATATGCATTTCTTTTTTAAATTAATTAATAACGCTAGTCGGAAGGCATCTCCACAAAATAAAAAAAAAATAATGATTGGGTTTTATTTAATCCTCTCTTTGATTACTTTACAATTTACTGCGTGAATGAATTGTTTATATATATCATATATAGTACAAATCCTTCACCAACACCATTAATATCGCTATCTGGAAATCACAAGATCTTTTTAATATAAACCTTTTGTTATTGTTTCCAAAATAGTCATTAAAAAAACATTTTTCCTGTCATACAAGGTATTTGTTTTCCGTTTCTGATTGGTATAAAACATAAATTTGTCCGTTCTTTTGATAAAACAGGTTTTAGGTTTTTTTTTTTCTTTAATTTCATCAAATCCGAAAAAATCAATAAAAAAATCAATTCTAGTGGTTATTTTTCAAATTTGCGAAAGATACGGTAAAAATCAAAATTATTACTACTAAAGATGAATGCTGATAACCCAAATGCTACTCCCCCACGTAAAAGGGGGCCGAGTAAACCAAAATCAAATAAACAAAATAATCCAAACAAAGTTAGGTTCGATAATTCTAGTAACGAACCTAAGGATTCGTCTACTGCGCAATCGAATTCCAATAACTCATCCAATAAAAATGATAATGCTAAGGATGTCGCATCACATACTGATGGATCGCAAAATCAGAATAAAGAAATGCCTATTAGTAAAAATTCGCGAAGGAAAAGAAATCGCAAAAATAAATCCGATCAACAAACCACTATGAGTCATGCCCAAAGTAGTTCATCCAATATACAACATAATCAAAAGCAACAGAATATCTCTAACTCATCCTTTCCTCTTTCAAAACGTCAAATTGAAGAGAAATTTTCGGATACTGACGAGAAATCAACTACAGAACCGATGGATATCGACCCACCTTTGGAACCTACTGATATTCCAGAACAAGATAATGGCGAGAAACAGCTATCAAAACAGAAATGGGAATCTGACGAGGAAGATAATGAGAAAGATAACGAAGAGGAACATGAATCTGACAAGGAGGATGACGAGGAACAGGAATTTGATTATGACTCGCTCGCTGAACAAGATAATGACGAGGAGCAACGTTTAGAAGAGGAGGATAAACAAATTTTAAAAAATGAGACTTTGAATGAGCCAAATAAACCAGATTACTCACGCGGTTCTAAAACAAAAGAAAGTGGTAACGATCGAAAAAAGGGTAAAGAAATAAAAAATCATGAATCGGAATCACAAGATAGTTTCCCAAAAGGTGAAAATGATGATTCTTCTTCAAAGAATCCCACCATGGTTGACAAAATTAAAAATTTGGTTAAACCAAGGGATGATGATATTTTAATTAAATTCTATGTTCATCTGCCACCTTTTATTCATCATTCATGTAATGTATTTGTAGCTGGCAACATTTATGAATTGGGTAACTGGGAAAATTTGAATGTAAAGCTTGTCCCAATCAAAGATGATGAAAATAAATCAACTGATTTTTATGAGTCTAATACCGTTCGTATTCCACTTGCGCGAATTCCCAATTATGAGATTGAGTATAAATATGTATTGACTCCCAAAACAGGAAAAAAAAAAAAGAACCGGCGGTATGAAGGGAATGATAATCGTGTGCTAGAAATTAGTGGAGGAAATCAGTATGACGTTTGGTGTGATACTTCTCAACATTATTTTGATCATCCACCCGATAATAATATGTTTATAAAAATCATTTATAAATCGGTCACCGAGAAAAATCTTAAAGATAAGATTATGGAATATGAAAGAATTGAAAGAAGTTTAAGATTACAGGTGCCTATCAACTTAGTTAATGATTTACTTTTTGATAGCCACTTATTAGCCTCAAAACTTTTCTTGTGTGTTTTACTTGGATATGTTCTCAAAGGAAAAGGACTAATGTATAGCTTGCCACAAGAATTTCAATCAGTTCCTTTGCTAGAAGCTCTTCATCAAATAAAAGATGACATAATCCCATCTGAAACTCGAAAAATATTATCCCTAACAATTGTACCATTAATTCGTTGCAATATCATGTCAGAATCATTTGAATGGCTCAAAGTTTTTGCTGTAGCTGATCTTTTAGATCCGGATTATAATTTCATTAGTTCTATTACGGAACAAAATTATGGTGTAAACATGGAACAATTTAAAAAAAAATTACAAGAACTTGTTATTCCATATATTGATCAAATTAATGATGATAAGATTTATGTTGAAATTGCAAAGGTATTTCAATTTTCTTCTTTACGTTTGTCCAAAGATTCTAAAAATTATCCTAAGATCTCTTTCTGAATATTATTTTACTATTTTGACAATAATTATAGGGATTGCTTAAACAAGTAAATAATGTGAACATTATTATTGAAATTTGGGAATTATTAGCCCACAATGAAGAGAGAGATGATCATCTTCGCAAATTTTTCAAAGAACGTGTTCAAAAAATAGTAAGATCTTATGAATCAATTATTGTTCTACGTGATAACTTCCTTGAAATTCCTGAGCATTTCAAAGAGCTCATTTCAGATGCATTTAAAGGTCAAGTTTTCTATTTTTTAAATCAACATCGTAATATGGACATGCCATCAACTCATTCTAAGGCAATTTATGATATGATTTTGAATAAGCAAATAAGCTGGACAAAGACCAATTATATAGGAGTACTCGATATTATTTCTACTTATTCCGATTTTGAAATATTGACAAAATTTAATAATTTCCTAGAATTTTGGACTAAGGTTTTCAATGATGATCACGAAAACCTTCCAAAAATATGTAAACAATGGTATCAAAAACTTTTGGATCGAGGATCAACCTTCACATTAAAAAAAGACAAATATGTTTTTTTAGTACTAAATCATGTTTCGTTGGTTCATCCATATATTGGAAAATTAAATGTTTGGAATGATTTACTTGACATGGCCATTGGTAGTGTAAAGAAATGGTCAGTTAATTCTATTTTTGAAATTACGGATAAAGTTGAAAAAAGATTGGTCCCTCGTATAGGAACTGAATTTGGATTAATGGTAAAAGAGATCTTAAATCCCTTGAATCAAATAAATGAACAATTATTGAACACCGTTAAACGAATTTTAACTCCTTACATCGAACCACCCAGTGAAGGTGTTATCCAAAGTACAGAATTACATGTTCCTGGAAGGTAAGAAAAAATAAATAAAAATAAAAATAAAAATAAAAATAAATAATTGTCGTAATAGAAAATACTAAATATTTTTATTAAAATTTTTTAGTTTATGTGAAAATATTTTATGTCATATAATGACATGTACACAAAAAAGTTTTCATGACGAATTTTCTTCTGATTTCCATCGAAGCCTTCTCGAAAAAGCAAAATTTTGGATTGTCTTGTTACGTTTAAAAGGAAGTGTTAAAAAATTTCAAGTTCATCCTCATATTACTGAGATACGTGAAGCCATTTTTGATCTTGCAGAAAAGATTGTTGAAAAAAATATTGATATTCATCTATTACAAACACTTTTGAGATATGACGACAACTTTTTATTTGATTACTTTGATTCGGCAGTTTTTGTTAATGACCTTTCATCCATTGTTATTACCAAATATGATTTGAAAAAAGTTCGCAAAGAATTTCAAAATTATGAAGAAACTTTAGATATTTTCTATTCATTTTACGTAAAATTTTGTTCTATTCCAAAAGTTACTGATGTCAACGAATATATTGATGATATCCGTCAAAGACACGATCGAAAGAGCCAAATTAAACTTAAAGATGTTTTATCAGCAGACAATTGGTTAAAACATTCAAATAATGAGACTATTGCCAAAAATATTTACAAGTTCAGAGATTCTAAGACTTTTAAAAATACTTTCGAAGATATTTCTAATAAAAGGATCGTTCAAGATACTTTAACAGTAAATGAGATTTCAAGTACAATAATTCCTCAAATTTACGTAGAATATTTGGAAAAAAATAGGAAATACGAAGAATGGGAAGACCTTAAATTTTCTGAAGCGTACATTACTTGGAATAATGTTCGAGACGTTGAATATGAATTAAGTTTGATGGGTTTACAAAGAGAAATTAGTCCTGAATTGGTTGAAATCTTAACACATCTTTCTAAAGTTTCTCAAAGTATTGAAAGATTAGAACAACTTTTAAAATTAGTAGAGATATTCCAGATTCCGTTAAAAGAAGATGATATATGGTTAAAAAATTCATATGATAGTCTTAAGCATGAATCCCTTTCATTAGGAAAATTAAAAGAATTTTTTGATACTCTTAAATACCGGCTAGAGGACATCGATAATGAAACCGGTTGGAAATTAACCAAAGAAATATCTATTTGCTCAGAATTTATTGCTTTTCTACGTCAAATTGTGGATGAGGATCTTACGAATTTAATAAATGGTGTCGACGATACGGAAGGACGACTTATCCAAGAGGACACTGTATCATCTCTTATTCAAGTAAAACAAATACTTGTTCCGTTAATTAATAGAGGAGATAAAATTGGGTTAAAAAATTTTCTATTGGATTTTGGTTTCATCTCAAAAAATAACAAAGTACTGGCCGAAAAAATTTCCCTATGTAATAGTAATAATATGGCATTGCAAAATATGTATAACAATATCTCAAAACGTGGCGAGGTTACCAAAGAAAAGATAACGAATGCTATTAAGATTGGAACTTATAATTTCGCATGGACTTCAGAGGACAATGCTTGCACTGTAAATTTATCATATCCTTCCGGAGGAGACACAATGAATATTAGTTTTTCAGAATTACAAGATTTACGTGGTCGTTCTTTATTAATAGCAAAACCAAAAGTTTCCATAGACCAAAATGAATTTGAAGAACAAGAATCGTTTGAACTTATAATAAATAAATTTGTTGAACAAATTGATACTGTTCTAGAAATTGTTGATTTGTCTTCAAAGGTTGAATCTAATTTCTAAATTATTAGAAAAAAAAAAAAGGGAATTATAAAATATATAAATAATTTATACTAATAATATATATATATATAATTTATTTTGATGATTAGTTAATTGAACAGGGACATTTTTCTTATCGCAAATTTGAAGAATCTATTCAAGGTACTCCAGCAATGAAACAGCAAGCTCAAAAGTTAAAAAAAGAAATAAAAGATTGGTAAATATTTTATTTTTCTTTATTTCCTATTCAAAAATATTATTTCTACAATTATTTCTACTTTATTAATTTAAATACAAAATTATTTAGGGATCAAGCGGTTAATTCGGCTCAAGACAAACATTATTATTTGACATTTTTCCCTGCGCGTCATATTCTTAAATTTTATGATTTCTTTGATAATTCTGCAAATGAATCCTGTGTAAATATTTGTAGAACACTGGTCAAATACGTTAATTTTAAAGCGAATTTACCTCATATCAATAATTCTTCAAGGATTAATTCAAGAAAAGGGGAATATTTCAGGATTCTTTCTGAAATAGGAAAAAGGTTACACGGTATTCTGAGTTCACTTCCCAAAGATCAATTTAAATTGGAATCCATTGACGAAAGAGTGGTGACGGATATCGTAGAAAGCAAATCCTTATTCATTGCAGCGTGTTACGATAAATCCCTGGTTCCAAATGTTATAATGTCATTGTATCTTAATCATGGGACACTTCCCAATGCATGGCAACTATTAATTTGCACATCATCTACAACTTCGGAAGAAATTTCAATCTTTATAAAAAGATGTTTTATGGCTGAAAAGAATGGTTATATACATCACTTATTTTGTATGGCAAATGTTGAAGTTCTGGATTTCAAATTGCAATATGATTTAGTTAAGAAAATTCGAGATTATATGGAAAGATATAAACAATCTAATTTCTTTTTGGCACTAATTTGTTGTCCAGAGAAAGGAGTGCATCATCATATTCTGGATCAATTCTCGGATTTTTGCGTCACAAAGGGACTTAGCAATGATGCAATGAAAGAGATTTATAAAGAGATATGTTATGATACAATTTGCGTGACATCAAGTTTATCTGGTCAGGGTAAAACGGAATTTATTAAACAAGAAAGTTTCAAAGAACTAAAAATTCCTCGAAATTTTCTTATAAGTGATGGAGATGATTTCGGTAAATTAGTTCGTAAATTCAATAAGTTTCCAATTAATCGAGAAATAGATTCTTTACATATAAATATAATTTCCGCCGATAATTGTGAAGATGTCAATATGTTCCTGTTTCAATTATTAACATTTGGAATCGTTTCCCACAAAGGTATTACAGCAATTCTTCCTGGTATAAAAATTTATATAGAAATTGCCTCAAACAATGATCAAAAATTAATTAAGTCACTTAAGTTTCTAACATGTTTGGAAATTATACATTTACCTTGGAATACCAATAAATTAATGATCTCTTGTGAGTTAAATAGTCCAATTCAAGTAGTATGCCAGTATTTGAAAGTGTTTGATAGTCAAACTTTGGATGAAAAAGATGTATTGTTCCGATCATCAAACAGTCGTGTGACAAAAAATTTAGCATCAAGAGAATGTCGACGACTCTTGAAAAAATATTTCTTTGATCTGATTGATCCTGAACTTAATTCTTTTAGATTTCTTGAAATTTTTATAAATGTGTTATCGGATCAACTAGTAGTACGTTTCAAAAAATTTTGGTATCATTTTTGATATGTAATATTTTTATGTTAAACTTTTAAAAAATATCTTTTTTTTTTACGTATTTTGTAGAGACTATCTGCAAGTTCATTTTTCCGAGTTGAAAATCTGAAATTAATGATCCACGAAAATGATATTCGATCAACATTGATGAAAACATTAATGGAAGTGTGTAAAGATTTTGCAACAAGATCAACTCAAACGAAATCAGCCCAAAAAAAAGCCATTAAGGAATTAGATGAAGAAGAAGTAGAAAGGGATGAAGAAGATGACCAATTAGGGACCATATCTCATTGGGATGATTCAAATCATTTGTTGGTATTTTTCTTGTCACAAGTTCCAGATTCTATCTGTGCCCTTTATCGAGATAGCAGTAAAGTTCCAGAGAATGTTCAAAAATTATTACAGAGTCAACATATCCGAAACGATATAAATGAATGGAGACTAGAAGATTATCGTACAATGGGAAGTGAAGCATTATTGTCAAAATTAGAGTGCCTGGCACGTGAAACGGAACATCCAATTAATTATCCACCATACGCTTTGTCAGCCGATAATTTGCTTAAAATGGCACTTATTTTATTGAGAACGCGTGCCAATGTGCCTGTAATCATTTGTGGAGAGGCAGGATGTGGAAAGACAAGTTTAATAGGGTTTTTAGCAAAAATGGTAGAAGTTGACTTCTTTGCTCTTAATCTTCATGCCGGAATAACTGAGGAGATAATAAATAAATTTATGGATGATTCTTTGGTTAATGTAAATAAACGAGAAATTTGGCTATTTTTTGATGAAATTAATACCTGTAATCATATCGGTATATTTGCAGATCTTATTGCTCATCGAATTTATCTTGGGAAACCATTACATCCAAATATTCGAGTATTTGCTGCGTGTAACCCTTATCGTAAAAGAATTAAAAGTTCAAGCGAAGCAGGTCTAGATCTGAGATATGAATTCCATAGAAGTAATCTAGTTTATGAAGTAAAACCTCTTCCAGATCAAATATTGGATTATGTTTGGGATTATGGAATTTTACAAGAAAGTGATGAAAAGAAATATATTGACATTATGGTGAGATCTGAGTTAAGAGGAGATTTGTATAATCCAATTGTTGCAGAAATTTTATTTGCATCTCAACAATTTATTCGCAGGGTTGAAGAACCTTTTAGTGTTAGTTTACGTGATGTAAAGAGAGCAATTACCCTGATCAAATTTTTCTATAATAGTTTTAATGATAGAAAACTTTATGAAACGCCATCTACATATTCGTTATCAATTCGTTCATATGTTTTGGCAATAGGACTTAGTTATCAGTCTAGATTGTATACTCAAGAATTACGTACAGAATTTCGTAAAGAAATGAGTAAAATCCTGAATATCCCAGAACGTGCTTTCAAAACTATAATAAGTAAAGAACAAAATGATTATATAGGACGAATGCAATTGCCACCCAACACTGCAAAAAACGAAGCCCTCTTAGAGAATGTTTTAATTATGATAGTTTGTATTTTAACAAAGATTCCCGTATTCATTGTTGGGAGACCTGGGTAAGTTTTAATAATGTTTCTTTCTACATAATAACAGTTAAAAAGAATTTATATTTATTTTGTTTCATTTTGCCTACTTTGTGTGTTCATCTTTCTTTTAGTACTTCTAAGTCAATGGCAATTCGACTTATAAGTAATAATTTACGAGGTTCAGATTCTAACGACAAGTATTTCAAAAAGTTGCCACAGGTATAATTAACATTCGATTTAATAATACATTTAAAAGACAATCCTAAAATAACGAAATAAATATAACAATTATTTATTATTATATTTAGGTATTATTAATTCCTCATCAAGGATCTTCATCCTCAACTTCTGATGGTATACTTAAAGTTTTCGACAAAGCAAATAATTATCAAAAGACAAGTTCAGATGAATTTCCGGTTATTAGTGTAGTATTGCTTGATGAAGGTAAATTTTTGATTTTAGATATATGTTCATTAAATGGAAAAAAAAAAAAAAAAATCACTTTTTTTCGTGTTTTTTTCACTTTTTCTTTATAGTTGGTTTGGCCGAAACTAGTCCCTATAATCCATTAAAAGTTCTACATTCTTTACTTGAACCGAGTTATCCTGCGGGAGGACCAACTGTTTCTGTTGTTGGAATAAGCAACTGGAGATTAGATAATAGTAAAAATAGTCGGGCGTTATTGGTCCAAAGGTTTTATACATTTTTATTTTATTATTTGTAAATCATAATTTTTGATTGATGGATTTATTAGATTTATTATTTATTATATTTTAGGCCCAAATTAGACGAAGATGATCTTGTTGATATCGCATTTCGTTTATTAGAAAAGGATGGCGATGCACCTCAAAAGTCATCTCTTCGACCTCTTGCGAAGGCTTATTCGAATTATGAACAAAATGGTCAAAAATTCAAAAATTTTCATGGTCTTCGTGATTACTATTCACTTGTAAAAAGTTTATCTACGAAAGAATTGACACCAGAAAACATTCAAATGGCATTAGCAAGGAATTTCGGTGGTACAGGACATCAAAAGGAATTATGTGAAGATTACTTTAATAGTGTGATAGATATGTTTAATGAAAACCAAAGTTGGTCTTATTATCAAGTACCTGTAAAAGATTTGATTAATGCTAATCTCGAAGACGATAATGCAAGACATCTTATGATAATTGGAAATAGCAGTTCTATTGTGAATTTATTGACTTATCAATTAAGAGCTGTAGGTTTGGAACCAGTGGTAATATTTGGTTCTCAATTTCCTAACGACCGAGATGATTATTCTTATACTGTTTTGAGCAGAATTATGGTAACAACTATATATCCTATGTTTATTATATTTATTATATTTATTATGTTTATTGTGTTTAATATATTTATCTTGTTTACAACTTCACAAAAAAAAATATAATATATATTTAGATGTGTGTAGAGGCTGGTAGACCTTTAATTTTGACTGATTTAGAAATAATTTACGGTATAACCATTTGATAATTTATTTTATTTTTATTTTTTTTTGAAAAAAAAAAATAAAATAAAATAAATAAATCGTTTAATAATATTTAGGGAGTCTTTATGATTTATGGAATCAAAATTATATTATCGCCGGAAGCAAAGAAGATCCAAAATATTATACTCGCGTTGCACTCGGAGCTTACGCTAATCCTATGTTGTAAGTTACAGAAATTTAATTTTTTTTTTTAATCACATTTTGTATATGACCATATAACACTTATTTATGTTATTATTTCTATTATTTTAAATTTTAGGTCAGTCGCAAAGAACTTTAGATGTATTTTAGTTATGGATGAAGCGAAATTACCATATGCTGATCCGCCTCTCTTGAATAGATTCGAAAAACAAAAAATGACAATGAATGATATTCTCACTACCGATGAAAGGAATTTGGTTGACGAATTATATAAATGGGCCGAACAAATGGCGACTTATCCAACACAAAATATGTTTACTCCTTCTCATAAAAAATTTACTTTAAATGATTTATTCATTGGATTTAATCATGATGAAACAGTCCAGAGTTTAGTAATTGATGTTAAGAAAAATTACCCTCATTTAGATGATGAAGGAATTATAGATAAATGTAAAGAATATTTGATTTTGATTGCTACATCTGATGGAATGGTTCGAGCAGAGAAATCTTTGGAAATTGAAGAAATACAACGTTGGAAAGATGTTTACTTTAATGAACAAAAACATGACAATCTTGCTGATTACTTTAAGGACCTACTTAAATCAGAAGATGAAGGTGTTCAAGTCATTGTGAACACATTTTCCAACATTAATACCGATATTAGAGCATGTTTGAAAGGTGTTCTCCCTTGTTTTATAATTAAACTTTCAACTTTCAAAACTGAAGCCGAATTTAGTACTCAAATCAATCAATTTTGGTTTAATTCCTCCAAACATGAAATGGTCGTATTACAATGTGATATCACCACGGTAAATTCCGAGTGCATCAAATTAGCCAAATTTATTATTGAACAGTCGCGTCACGAATATTATACCAAACGTCATGAAGAAGGTTTTATTGAAAAACACGCATGTATTATTCTTCATATGCACCGAGATCAGAAATCATTTATGGGCTTTAATTTTATATGCGGTTGGAATCAAATAACTATTGAAGCTTTGGCAGAACAGCCGAAACCTTTATCGAGATTGTTAAGTGGAGATTTAGGAGAAATAATCGAAAACATTTATCCTTTCGAAGAGATTTTAGATCAAGAATTATTATGGTGTTTATCATGTATTAAATATCCATCAACCATTAGCTCATTGAATCATGTCAAGTATGTTTACAATTTATCAATATATTTATTAATTGAAAGATCGATTTCATTTTTTTTTTGTCATTATATAAAACTAATAATTATTCATTTTTTCATTTTCTATTTTTTATTAAAAAAAATATATATATATATATAATTTTAATATATTTATATATATTTATGTATATTTATATAGGTCACTTAATAATAAAATTCGTAAAAATCCAACATTTATTGATTACTTGAAACAAAGAACTATCGACAGCTTAAGAGAAATAAGAACTTTCCATGGATGGCAATATGATGTCGCATCTGATAAAAAATATCTTTATCCATATTCATCATTCTCGGTTGCATTATCAGCTCACATAAGGACTTTAGTTCGTCAACCAATATCTAAATTATTATGCGCTCTTGAAAATTTATCTGCAACGCAAACTTTTCTAAATCTTAGTGATCCTCAACAAATCATTACAACACAATCAAATAAATTAGAACAATTGCTTGGATTTTGGAGGCAAATGTTTCTGGATAAAGATATTATCTCCATCAAAGATATACCTGATCCAAAAACTGATGGTTATTTATTAAAATCAGGAATATATAAATTAAATTTCCCATTTTCATATTACTTTATGAAACAAATTGATAGTTTTAAAAGATTATATGAAGAAGAACTGACAAAACTTCGCGAAGATCCAGATAATGTTGATCCTGACAATGGCACAATTTATGGGTTTGAAAATTTTATTGCAAAATTTTCAAATAATATATTAATTTTATTACAGAATTATCAATCATCTCCAATTGAAACTAATAGAGAATTATATTTCAAAGATTTCATTTCTGTAACTTGTTCAAATGAAGCGGATGGAAAATATGGTCATATTCTTTCATTTATTTTCAGAAAATTACTTGGTCCTGATAAGATTTTAAACCCGATACTTCTTCATATTTTTTGGTGGGATAATAGTAATATCATTTTATCATTATATCATTTAGCAAAAATGTCAAAAAATATTTCAGATCTTATTATTCAAACTGACGATAGTAGTTTGGAAAATTTTAATTTATCTGAATACTTTGTTAAAGATATTTGTGATAATTTACTTTGGGATATTGAAAATATTAAAGAAAATATGAACATTTCAGCGTGGCAATTTGAAGCCACAAAAGCTTTATCTTTGTGTGAAAAAATTCCTGGATCATCATCTATTTTATCTCATCTATTACAAATTTGCAGGGATCTCGTTTTATCAAATACTCCACTATTAAAAATTCAAGAGATCATAAAAATTGCAAGGAAGAATAACAAAAATAATCAAATTTCAATTCCTTTCATCAAGACGGTTTCAAAAGCATTAGAACATAATCATGCATCAAAAAGATTATTTATTAGTAAATGTCTTGATATAATTGATATTAATACAATTAATCGTGGTGAACTTTACAAGGATATATTCTTAAACGAACCCTTCCCATTGATGAGTATTATTATATTACGAATTTTTGAACTCGAGGATTTAGAAAATGAGAATATCTTCTTTCAACTTTTCAACAATGCCAATCATACTTTCTTATTAAGGATTATAAATGATTGCTTGGGTAATCAAGGTCTTGATTCAAGAATGGCTGCTCTATGTTGTGATGTGATTCAAAAACGTTTCTTTGCTAAGGCTACTTTGGAGAATTTATCAAATTATCTCCGTCGTGCATGTGAAAATATTTACGGAAATTGTCGTTTCCCATTATTGAGGTTAATATCAATAGCACTTTTAAAGGAATTTGTTCACAAATTTTGGGATTATACTATTCAAGATGAGGATATTTTTGAACCAATTGATATAGATTCCATGCAAACTGATGATTTTGATATGTTCATAATAATTAGTCAACTTAGTTCTTGTTTGGAAAAATCATCTCCTTTGGTTCATTCACTTCTGATTTATTTCTTACGGGATTTACGACAACGTGATGGATTTTCCATAGAAAATGTTAAAAAGTTTTGTCAAGCACAAAGATATATATTACCTTGGTTTAATAATTTATCATGGGATGATTCACAAGGAAATAGGTTTCCATTTAATCCATATTGGTCTCTCGGTTCGGAATATGAAACTTTAGAGAATTCTTTTCAACCACTTTTAAGTTTTAATAATAGACAACCTTTCAATAGTGAATTCTTCAAGAATTTTAAGAAAAATTCAAAATGGCATCATATTGCATTAGTTGGTTTGATGATCAATCGGCTTCATGCTATTCGTGCTTCCCGGGAATGGTCAGAATCAGAAACTCTCGCCGCAGAATTTTTATTAGAAAAAGTTAAAAGTGTCAATTTCCTTTCAGTTGCTTATAAAGATACAATTACTAAAATTGTCAAAAATGAGCATGAATTTCTACGAATTCATCAAGACACTAGTACTCAAGATTTACTTATTAAATCCGTTATTGGTCACGTTATCGCTTTACATGCTTCAGTTCCATCTACATCTTCTCCTCTCGCACATTTATTACAAAATTTACATTATTGTACAGGAAATTATATTTTATCTTGTTCTTCTAATCTTGAGGCATTATTATTGAACGCAATTGGTTAGTATTTTTTAATATTTAATAATGATTCAGTTTTTCTTTTTTGATTATTAATTTTTATTCGATTCATAATTATTACCAGGGGAAAAACTTACAAGGTATCGATGCTCATGTGGTTTCATGTATGTTATTGGAAATTGCGGTTTTGCTAATGGTAGAGGAAAATGCCCACAATGTAAATATATATTTTGATTTTTATTTTTATTTATAGATTATATTATCATTATATTGTCATTTTAAATGAAATTAATGAAAATTTCATAATATATATCTATATATTCATTCATTCATTCATTTATTTATTTATTTAATAATAAAGGTCAAAATGTAATTGGTGGAGAAAACCATGTTGCAGTAGCGGGCCAAATAAAATTAGATACGGATCCTCAAAATAGGGTAAAAACAAAGGACCTAAGTGGTTATATAGGCGAAGCTATTAATGAAGAAAAAAATGAATCCGTTCGAAGCATGAATCCATCATCTTATCGAATTCTACACTTATTTGTTCACGCGATTATCGGTTCTTGGGCTCCTGCTCCTATCGCTTTTAATTTCTTACGAAAAAATAATGAAACTGCTACCAATGTAGAAAAATATTGTATGGATCATATTAAAAATGATTGGAATATTCTTAGAACGATCCTCAACACTTCCAATGAAAATTTGGCATTATTATTACATTCCATTCTTAATTTGTTAAGTACTAAACCTCCCAAGGAATCATCGTTAGATTCACCTTCAGCACGAGAAACATGGGAATCATATTTCATGAATGAATATGTTGCACCACAAATCAAAAATGTGAATGATACGGCAATGAATTTTAGAATTTTAATAGACAATGCTGCTAAAAAATCCGAAGGATCCAATAATGTAATCGAAAAAGAAATTAATCAAACAAGTCAAATGGATGGAGGTTATAAAAAGACACATTTACCAAGTGAGGATCTTATATATAAATATTTATATATGTTAATATATTGATATTTATTTGTTAATGCTGTAAATTTTAACCTATTTTTTTTTTTTTTTGTTTTTTTTTAAAAAAAAAAAAATTAATAGATTTATGGAGAACAATCGGAGATACTAGTTTTGAAAGTTTAAGAGCACAATATCTTAGTGATAATAAGAATAATACAAAATACCCTTTCATGAAGATATTTTTTGAACAATCAGAAAATTTGGGTTTAATTAAACATCTTCATCCCATTGTGAAATTTGTACAATTATTATCTTCAAAACTTGAATATCGGTTAAATCGGGAAAAGGCCATAATTCAAACTTTTAGAGAGTTTATAGAGGATGAATCTAATGAAGACTCTGATTTATTAGATTTAGCATTCCAGGATTTTGCTAAAGCATGGAATTTAGTTATTGGACATGTTAAGACTTATCAATGTCACGATTTACCACCACAAGACAAACCAAAAATTAAATATGATTCACCAATAGTTTTTGGATTGATTGAACCCAAAGATTCAGGAATTTATATTTGCGCAATTCTAGAATATTTAATTAATTTGCAAAATCGATTTATACAAGAAGTTATTGATATTCCTTCAGGAACATCTCTTTCACTTAAATTTATGGATGAAGTTCCATTTGAAAAAATGGATACTATCACATCTCAATCAACCAGTACTGCTGCTACTCCTACTTTTCATCATTATACAAAATCAATTCAAATAATTTATGCCAAGCCCGAAAATTTAATTAATTATGAATGGAATGATGAATTACTTCAATATAGTCAAAGAAATTTAGATCATGGTCGAGGAAATGAAATATTTTATGATTTACAAGAAATTGAAGGAGAACTTGCTTATCAATTAGTTCACGAAAAGGTTCATATTAATACTTTAAATGATTCACAATTGTATATTGAACCATTCCATTTCCATATGGAACTATTTAAGGGATACATGAGAATTTTGAGTGAAATCAAAAATTTAATCCCTCAACAATCAATCCCACCCAATATAATTTCCGCAATTATGGGATTAGCTTCTAATACCTCACAACATATGAGTCGTCAATATGATACTGAGACTTTACCATTTGACAATGCATCGGAATTACTCACTTGTTTGGAAATATTACTTTGTTTTGTGAAAAGAACTCCGACTGGTAATGGAAAAATTTATATTCGTGAATATGTAAAGAAGTGGATGAATTTATCAACTTTAGAAGGAAATAATTTATTTATGAACTTGTTGAAATTGGAATTGCGTTTGGAACATGTCGTAGCATTATACGAATTAGTTGAGGAACATGTTGCTAACGGTATAATAAAATATATCGATGATAAATATAAAGAAGAGTTGGATGATGATCAGCAAGAGGAAATTAATAAAGCCCTAAATTATGATTTGAATAATTCAAAAAATATGACCAAAATTCCTGCGCAAGTTTTTGTTGCGGCGATGAAGAGATTTATGCTTCGATTTTTATCGACGGAATCTATTAAGGAAGATTATCCTTTGAATGTATATTTTAATGATGAATCATTAAATTTATGGCCATCTTTCGTTTCAGAACAATTGGTGGAAGAGTGTTTCCCTGATTCTTTATTAGTTTCTAATGTCTTTTGGGCTTATAAATTCGTGGATGATAAACTTGAGGTAATTTTAATAATTTTATGAATTTTATAAAGATTTTTTATTTATTTAAATTATTTTTTCTCTTTGGTTATAGGAATTGAAAAAACAGCAACAATTAGCAGCTGCCAATGCACCAAGAAAGCAACCTCAAATTAGAGAATTTAATAACCAATTAAATAACTCTCGTGACTCTCATAGTCCTTCAAAAGAAAGCAGCAATAGCGGATCAAGTTCCTCTAGAGGACACCGGAGACGGAGGAATAATAAGACAAAAAAATTTGATTCAACATAAATTCATTTATGACCTGTATAATAAAATATTAACTTATGTGTCATTTGATTTTTTAATAAAGAATAAAATATTCCAATACAATTTTTATTTACTTTGATTACTAAATCTTTTTTTTTTAAAAAAAAAAAAAAAATTGAAAATTTCTTTAATAATAATATTTGATAATAATACATGAAATAACATGAAATAACATGAAATAATTTCAATAAAGTATCTTAAATAATTTAAATAGTCCTGATTCTTTTATCTACATTTTTTTTTTCTTTATTTTTTTAAAGAATATTTTTAATCCTTAATCCTCACCCTCATAATCATCATCATCATCATCATCATCATCACTTGTCTTATTCTGTTTTTCGACTTTTTTGACTTTACTTTTACTTAAAGAATCACCTTTTTTTTTTCCTTTTTTGAGTTGGATATTTTCACGGAGTAATTCTTTATTGCTTCTTCCCGAACTTCCTTTCCATTCACTCAATACCTTTCTTGCTTCACTGCGACCTTCGTCGTGTTTACCGGATTTTTTAAAACGTTGAATATGCTTCTTTATTGCTGAAAGACTTTTATGATCACTTGCAGAATGAATATGATTTAGTACCCAACGCATTGAATCTGGCTGCTTTTTTTCATCGATCACAGTTAATAATAATAAATTTTGACCTCCTTCATTTTCTAGGTCTCCATTAGCATTATTATCATTTAATAAATCCAATACTTTGACAGGCCAACAAAATTTTACAGCTAAAAATAATGTGCTAGGAGCATGAAATTGTTGAGGTACTTTTAAATATGTTGGTATATTTGGATTCGCTCCATGCTTTAATAATAATTCAATAATTGGAATGATATCATTATGAGAATGTTGTTCAGTTAAAACGTATGATAAAATTGTTCTATGATCCTTATCTAATGCATTAATATCACACCCTTTATCTACCAGGAATTCCATAATCTTGTCAAGATTTTTAATAAATTTGTCGGTTCCAGATTTTTCAGTGATACCTCTGGTAATCACACTGTTTTCCCATAAATAATGAAATGCATTTTTTCCAGTATTTTTTGATACTATTTTAAAATCTGAATTTCTTTCTTCAAGTGATTTAAATATTGCGAACATCTTATTTACACTACAATTTCTCAATGTAAGTAAAACAAGAGGTTCTGATAAACCTTTGAAATTATAATTAGCAGTAATTCTATCACCTTTATAATTAAGATGATAGATTAATCCTTTATCATCACCATAACCACAATGATACCCAGCATTGCATATCTCGGGATTTTCAAAACCGTAATCAGAACTATAATCTTTGGTATAACGTCCCAAGATTTCTATACAATTATCTTCCATCACGGGATCCTTAGATAAATAAAAAAAAAAGGTTGTAAGTTAATATTCGTAATAAATGATATATATTAAAAAAAAAAAAAAAAATACATACAGATAATTTTTGAGATTTTTGATAATAACCTGTAATTAAATGAATTAAATGAATTATGAATTAACATTATTAACACAAATTATATCAAAAAATATATATATATATTAAATGAATACCTTGTGAGTCACTATTTAAAGGATGACTATTATGAATATTCTGGTTTGAGATACCAGATGAAGTAGATGAAGTAGATGAAGGGGAATTTTGCTGGAACTGATTTAGATTTTGAATATAATTACTTTGAATTCCTTGGGCAGTATTATTCACATAACCTGTATTTGATCCATTTAAATCACGATTTACAAAATACTGAGGATTCGTATTTGAATTATTGAAATTCTGATCACGTTGCGGTGATGAAACTTGTGATGAAAATGGTGGCTGTTGTGATGAGCGTGAAATTTGTGATGAAAATGGTGGTTGTTGTGATGAGAGTGGAATTTGTGATGAAAATGGTGGTTGTTGTGATGAGAGTGGAATTTGTTGTGAGAGTGGAATTTGTTGTGAGAGTGGAATTTGTGATTGTGGTTGTTGTGGTTGTTGTAGTTGTGGAGTTTGGGGTGTAAATGGTGGTTGTTGTTGTTGGTGATTTCCTTGATTAAAGTTTTGATTTAAATTATTTCCAGGTACCCCTGAAACAGGCACCGATTGTGCATTTTGTTGAAATTGATTTCCTTGGTTAAAGTTTTGAAACGTTGTTTGTCCTACAAAATTTTGTTTAGGTGGTTGATTATAATTTAACCCTCCAGTAATATTGGTATTATTGGTATTATTATGTAGCGGCACGGAAAAGCCTGGTGGTCGGCTAACATTTGGATTTCCATGAATATCATTATTATTGGTATCATTCTGTAGCGGCACGGAAAATCCTGGGGGTCGGATAACATTTGGATTTCCATGAATATCATTATTACTGGTATTATTATGTAGAGGCACGGAAAATCCTGGTGGTCGGCTAACATTTGAATTTCCATGAATATCATTATTATTGTTATTATTATGTAATGCTGGTGGTCGGTTAACATTTGGATTTCCATGAATATCATTATTATTGGTATTATTCTGTAGCGGCACGGAAAATCCTGGTGGTCGGCTAACATTTGGATTCCCATGAATATCATTATTCTGATTATTATTTACTGACAAGGAAAATGCCGGATTTCCATGAATATTATTATTATTATTATTGTTATTATTGTTAATTCCAGAGAATGATTGATGACCAAGATTGGAAGTAAATTGTTTGTTATCAACAGAATTTATTCCTCCAACATTTTGATTTTGATTTTGTATTGAATTCGATTGAGTTTGATGTAAATTATTTAGATTTTGTATGAAATTTGGTTGCAAATGGGAAAAATTACCATTGTTCAATCCTGAATTCTGATTATGATTGAGTAAAGGCGTGGAATAAGCAAAATTATTTTTTGGTTTATTTGGTTTCTTGGGAGGTGCCATTTCATTATTTACTCCTACATTCTGATTGGCTGAATTTCCTATAGGAGGTTGTGGGACATTTTGCATATTTTGTATATTTTGTAAATTTTGTATATTTTGTAAATTTTGTATATTTTGTAAATTTTGTATATTTTGTAAATTTTGTATATTTTGTACAGGTTGTGAATACGCCATCCCTTGAACCCCTTGATTAGCTATTCCAATATTTTGGTGACTTGGAATATAATTTACACCCTGATTAGGTACATTAGATATATTAGGTGGTGCATTAGGTTTATTAGGTATATTAAATTGTTGGGTAGGAGAAACTGGGCTAGAGAAATTCTGATTTTGAAGTATTGATTGATTATTGAATTGTGATTGATTAGTTTGTATATTATTATTATACCCTTGAGAAATGTTTTGAAGATTTTGTAAATTTTGAATATTTTGAACATTTTGATGAGCGAATGAATTTTGATTTTGATGTATTTGTTCAGGTGCATTATTAAAGGTATTATGTGTAGGATGAGTAGGTTTTGGAGGTATATTAGGTGAGTTATAATCATCATTGGGTATGAACAATGGACTCGGTTTTTGGGGGGGTATTTGATTAGTTAATGATGATGAACTAAATTTATTTCGTAACTCATTTAGATCAGTATCATTGTTAATATTATAATTTGTAGATTTGTTAGATTCAATGAGAACATTTTTGGGAGGTTTCGCAGGAATTCCTGGAGCCACAGGATTATATTTTGGCGGTGGAGGTACCGAAGATTGATTACCTAACATTCTATCTAATTCGTAACGAATATAATCAATAGTGGGGCGTTTTTTTGGATCATTATCCCAAGCTTCTTCGTAAAGACGTTGATAATCTGACGGGGTTCCGGGGTAAGGAGGTTCTTTCTCATTTTCAATAACTCTACGTGCTATATCTAATATATTTGCTTTATCAAAAGGAGGTCGTCCGTTAGAAATTTCCCATAATAATTGACCCAAACTGTATATATCTGAAGCTTTGTCCCTTTTATAACTTGAATCGATAAAAGTTTGTGGTTCTACGTATGCTGCCATTCCAACAGCAAGTGAAGTATTACCACCGATACTTGATTTAGATAAACCAAAGTCAGTAATCATCAATCTATCATCGTTTACTAATATATTTTTCGAGTGCTTTAAATTAAATTAAATTAAATTAAAACATTAAAATTTTAAAATTTTAAATATGAAATTATTCATTTTTCCATAAAAAAAATAATAAAATAAAATAAATAAAAATTTACCAAATCTCTATGTATTATATCCTGTTCATGTATACATTTTAAGCCACTTGCTATCTGTTTACCCATAAGAAATTTTTTCTCCCAACGTAAACTATCAAAGTTTTTCCTTAAATATTCCCTCAAGTTTCCACCATTTGCATATTGTAGAACCATAAAATATCTGGAAGACGAAGGTTCTATATAATTATGAACAATTGTTAATTTACTAAAGGGTTAAATAAATTTTTGTATATAGAAAGATTTTTAATTTACCTTGACTTACACCAAAAAATCGTATAACATTATCATGAAAATCGACTTTACGAATCAACATTAACTAATATTAATTTTATTAATTTTTATTTTTGAATTTATCAGTAGTATCAAATATTATATCATAAATGAAATGAATTATCAAACTCAAAACTTTTTTTGGTGAAAGACAAACTTAGAATTATAATAATAAAGACTACACAATAATAAGTATAATAGGTAATATATTATATAAAAATAAAATTCTAAGTAATAATAATAATTTTTACAAACCTCGTTAGTAAATTCTTCAAAAGATTTATCATTTCCCGAAGAAGGGTTTTTAAATAATGATTTTAATGCAACTGTTTTTTCACCTTGACCCCAGTAAACTTTAGTCACTTCACCAAATGCACCTCTTGCAATAACTTCATGTTTAGAAAATTCATCATAGGGAATTGATTTAATATGGCCGCCTGCAATTCCGTCCTCTAACCATCCTGAAGACATGATATATTAAGTTTATTAAATTTAGAATCCTTTGAAATTTTATAAAAAAATTAGGTACTATTTACGCTTTTCACTTTTTTCACAACCGGAATTTCTACAAAATTCTCCAACAACCACGTGACTACAATGCTATTTAACTGAGGAACAGATGTACCAGTGTACTATAAAAAAATTTAAATCGATAATCATTTTATTTTTTCGATGGTTACAAAAACTCCTTTCGCCATCATCACCGTTTCGATTACTGCCTTTGATTTGAAAGAATTAAAAGGTAAATCATAAATATCTATATTTTGCCTTGTTCCTTCGTCTCACTCTTCTTTTCTTGTTTCTCCTCTTTTTCCTCCTTCATCACCTTGGTCCGGAATTAAAAGCAAAAAGAAAAAAATGACAAAGCCGAGAAAAAAGTTAGTATTTTGATTTCTTTTTCTTGGCTCTCCTCCTTCTTTCTATTTCTTCCCCTGTTTTGCCACTACTTTCGTCTCTCTGAAATATTGTAACCACTTACCTTGGCACTTCTCGTATCAAACTCTTTCAAACTCTTTCAAACTTTCAATAAATCTCAATAGATTAATTAGGAATTGATCCGATAACTTCTTTCATGTATTTATCAGACATCATTGGATTAAGCAAGGAAAGATCGCTTCTAAGACATCTTCATCCGGCACTTTTCTCTATGATATCATTACCTTCTAAAAATGTTAATCCTGTCACCACCACTGGCCACGTTTATGCACACAATTCCAGCAACAAACAACAGGAGGATCTCAAGTGACAGAAGCAAAATCCTTCTCTCTCGATTTTTAGCCTATGAACTCCGCAACATGTTGGCAGTGGCATCAATTTCAAATGATCCAATTATTGAATAGATAAGACCACTTGTTGTTTTTACATTTTGTCTCAAAATGAAGAGGCACTCAATGATTATACTGTAACTCATAGCAAACTTATCTATTCCTGAAAAATTAATAAATGGATAATATTTGTCTAGTTATATTATCTCTATATTCATTAAATCAAATGAAAACATTAAACCAATAAGCCATTCTAATCTAGATACCTTTAGAGTGGTTAACGTTATAGTTCTTTTAGAAATTTAACGTGCCTTTGAATTGTAAACCTTTAAGTTTAGTTGTATAAATTCTAATCCTGAGTCTTATTAAATAATCTAAACCTTCTAATTAACTGACTGAGTAGCACACAATAATATTAAACCTTGTCTCTTGATTCTTAAGGTCTAATATAATCTTGTAATTATTAAATTGTTCTCGCATTTATAATAATAAACATATATTTATCAATTATATCTTATCCATTATTAGTATAACTTGTAAATTGTAAATTATTATAAACTAATTTTATGTGCTTAAAACTTCTTCTCATTACAAAGAACTCACTGTATGTTTGATTCCTTAGTTAACTTTCTTTGTCAAAGTAAATTGGATCTGTATGATCTTCATGAAGTAAACAGTTAATTGTATCCTAACAAATTGACCTCCAAATCAAATAAATAATATATATATTTTTAATTTGAAATACTATAATTTAAAATATTATAAAATAATTTGGGATGTCAACTTTTACATAAATAGCAAGATATTTAAATAAATTTTCTTTATTTTTATTTATTCCAGTATATAAAAATAATAATAACAATTAAAGTAAAACAAAATATTGTTTAAAAATATAATATACAGTAACTCATGAAAGTAATGCACCACCTGGATTTTTGTCTTTAAAAAATTCCAGCTCCTGAACAATAGATTTTAGAACAATAGTTACCTATATATATTTTAATCACTGGTCAAAAATTTATAAATACTACACCTATTGGATACCTGATAGGTATAAGAGTAATGTACATGTTCATATACTTATCAGGTACCTGATAAGTGTAATAAAATATTTTTTACACCTATCAGGCAGGGTTGTACATTTTACATGTTCCTATATCCTGTGTCCCACTGTCCCTACTGTTATCCATGTAAACCTTCTACAATTTACAAAAACAACAGGGTAAAATAATACTAAACTAATAAACAAAACTAAATAAAACTATAAGAATTACTAATATCAAGATAAAATAATCACAATACAAGGGTTTATACATAGAAGAAATTATATATAATCAATTACAAAAGAGACATATTTACTATTAACAGTAGTATGAAGACTTGTTAATAGGGACAAACAGTTTATCAATTATCAAAAGAATACAATAAACAAGGAACTCAAAGGATT